TTAAAGAAAATATATTTTTTAAAAATAATATGTTCATCTGTATTATAATTTTGTTTTAAATGCGTTTGTTAATTACAATTTTGTAGGAGATGGATATTTAATAATTAATTTTAAATTTTAGATAAGTCTATTATATCCAACAAGTCTTTAATAATATTGTTATAAATGCTTCAGTAATAATATTATTAAATATTATCAAAAAGGCAGTTTTATTTATTTATATTTTTATATTTTGTTAAATTTAAATTTTATTTAAATTTAATTCCATAATGAACAATGAATTTGTGTTTTTATTTTGCACTAAGAAAGGAATTATTTTGACTGAATTGAATTTGTTAAATTTATTAATGTAACATGAATATTTTAATTGTATATAATTAGTTTTCAAATAAAATAATAAATTTGAAAATTTTATTTGGAATTCGGATTTATCAATATATTGGATAGATTATGTTAAATAATTGCATAATATATAATTGAAATAATGAAAAATGTACTGTTTAATGCGATGAACATTTTGGTAAGAATTTATGAATTATAATCAAAATTTTTCAAAGTAAATTAATAATTTTAATAATGTTATTTTAACGTTTGTTAACTTGTTTTCTACATATTTGAATGCTAAATTTAAATGTTGCATAAATTTTATCAAATATTTTGTTTTTAAATATTTAAGACTTTAGAAGAACATTTAGGAAAAAAAGAAGTAAATTAAAAATTTTTTTTTTTGTTTTACAAATTGAAATAACAAAAATTATGATAATATTGCACGATGTTAATTCAATTTTTTTAATATATTGTGTTTAAATTTTTATGATATTTAATAATATAGTTTTTGTTGTTGATATTAAAAGTGTTGACAGTCATTTAATTGGCAGTTTGTTACAATGTTCCACAAGAAAAGTATTTTTTTTTACTCTTTCCATTTTTTTGTTTTTAATTTCTTGAGATTATATTTTAATATTTTTAATTTGCATTTTGTATATATATATATATATATATATGCATATACATTTTATTTGTTTACATGCAATTTTAAATCTCGTCTATTAATTAGTATTTTGATTAATAATTTGTTCTTAATGTTTTTGTTTTATTAATTTTTAATAATAAAATTCATAAAAAAATCTAAACTTTTTTTTTATTCCATTTTACAATGTCTTGTAATCAATCAAATGCTTTAACGTTAATAATGATTTTCTTTTTTCTTAAATATTTATTTTTATATTTAAAATATACAATATTGTATATCAGTTTATTAATACTTAGTTAATAAAAGAAAAAATTGTATAACATAATTTTTATTATTACGTTATTTGGTATATTATAATTTAATATTTTTTTGTTTATTCAAATTGTATTTGGCTATTTTAAAATTAAAATAATTATTCTTTTAATATTTCAGAAAAAGAAATTAAAAATTTTAATATTATATCTTTATTGTGAATAAATATAATGTGTAATCTTTTGTAGGCTCCATTTATATATCTTTCGTTAAAACAGAAAGCATAAAAATTAAATTTGAAATAATATTGTATTATTTAATTAAAGAAAAATATGTTAACAATATTCTGTTAATATATTTAAAATTAAATCTACGAAAAAATCTGTATGTATCGGAAATTATCGGATAGAAATTAAACTGTTACCAAAAAAATATAATCAAAGTAAAAAATAGCTAATCGCTGTTCAAAACTCTCTTTTAAAAAATCTGATAGTTAATCTGATCAGAATAGAGTAATTTTTTAATTTGCACTAAGAAAAAGTCTAAAAACTAAGTTTTTAAATATACGACTTTCATCGGACTCAGATACCATCTTAGATTTTGTCTACTATTTGTATATGCAAACAGTGCTTAAAATACCTCATTTAGAGAAATAAGTTATTGAGGTCAATTTATATACATATGTATAACTATATAATTAACTTGAACTGTAAAACAGTTGTATAGTTTTACGAAAGTAGCCAAGTAAATTTAAATTTTTTCAATATAATTTGAGCTAAATAATTAAAATTATAAACATTTCTTAATTAAAAATCTTATTTTTCAATTTTTCTTTCTTTCCTTAATATATCATATATCTATATATAATATAAAATTTAAGAAGAAGGTATCATATACATTTATAGAAAATGTTAAATATGTACATATTGTAGATTATATACGAATAAAATACATGTATTTATGAAACATTGAATTGTTTTTAATATATTTTCATAATTTTCATGTTCTTTTTAATATGTACATGGAAAAGATATACATATATTTTAAAAACTGATTCATCAGAATTTTTAAAAACGCAAAGAAAAAACATAATTAAAAATTTCTTACAATAAAATTTTTAAATTATTATTTACTATATATTCTCTTAGATGCATCACTTGAAATGACGGAATATTATTTAAAAAATTGGAAGTTTTCAATTTTTGAAATTCATTTTATTTTGTAAATTCCAAAATTTTTGAATAATCCACAAGTGATGTGATAAAGAAAGTGGATTGAAATTGGGTTATTATTTGCAAAAAAAATGTTAAGTTTATTATTTTGAAAATTTTATAATTAATGAAAATGTTTTTAATCAGAATTTTCTGTAGGACCGTATAATATTTATCGTTATGGTGATGATAATACAGTATTTTTAAGTCCAAAAAAATTAAAAAAATTTATTGAGAATTAATTTTATACACATATACAATTTTTTATTTTACTTCTTCTTTTTAATATTTACAACAATAAAACATTTTTTAAAAGTACACTTTTAATTATTTTCTAATTTTTTTGTTTTGTTTTATTTTTTTCATTTTAAACCTTTCAAAGTACATAATATTTATTATATTATTATACACAAATTGACTGTTATATTTATACTGTATTATCAAATATTAAATATAGAAAAATATTTTAATTCGTAAGATAATAACTTTTTTCTTTTATTTTGTTTTAATTATATTTTATGTATTAAATGTTATTTGAATTAATTTCTTACATTTTGATTCTAATAAAGAATTTATTCAATGTATTAAATTCTAATTAGCTTATATTTTTCCAGTATTAATACAGGTTTTTTTTTTTTAAAATAATATTGGCTAAAGTAGATTTTTTAATAGTTTAATATGAAATGAAAAATAATTAAACAAAAAAAAAATTATGAAAAGCTTAAATTAAATAATTTATTTAAGTTTATACTCATTGGTAATAATTTTAAAGACTAAGAAGAAAACGTATCTTAATTACTTTTTTTAGATATATTTTAAAATATTTCAAAAAAGAAACAAAATAATTAAACAAAAAATTAATTTATATTCTTGGATTTTACAAATTAATTTACATTCTGCTATTGGATTTCTTTAATTTTTTTACAAGTAAATTGAATAATTTTTATAATTATTCAAATTAAATTAAATGTACAACTATTTATGATACAAATGTATAAAATTTATGTCACTGATTTACAAATATAAATTATTTAATTTTATTAAAATTTAAGAAAGCTAATATTATTTTAAATTTATTAAAAGAAATGAAATATATGTAGTTTTGTTTTAAAATTTTTCTTATATTTTAATTGTATGTCTATATTTTATCTATTTTATAATATAATTAACGTAAAAAATAATTGAGTATTATAAGTTTGTATTTTTAAAACTTAAAATATTCGAAGATTTTAAAATCAATTTGAGACAAAAAAAAAATTAGCAAATAATTTATATTTACTTATATTACTACATTACTAATTTTAAAATATAAAATAAAATTATTATAATTGTGATTTAATGTTATTTTCATTTCATTTAATAATTAATAATTAAAACAATTTTAATATTAGGTTTCGACAAAAAAAAACACTTGTTTTTGTAAAATATGGAAATTAATATTAAAATTTATAATTAAATTTTTCATTTCATATAAAACTATATTTGAAAAAAAAAAGAAAACATTTTATAATTTAATTATTCAACATTATTGTTTTAAGTGCAATTTGTTAATAGTTTTATTTTACAATTCAAAATTATATAATACAATTATATTGTTATTATTTTATTTAGATCTTTCAATTTCTTATAATTTTATTCTATTTGGAATTTTTTCCTTTTCTATTTTTGAATTTTCTGCAATAAAATTGAAATTGCTTCGTTAATATTTTGTAATAATATTAATATACATATATAGGTTAGTACATTGTTATAAAAAAATGGCTCGAAACCGGGTCCAAAAGTGTTTTTTGATAAAATCCAAAAAAAAAAGGAAAAGTCTTCATATAATTAATTTTATAATACAAAATTTCAATATTATATAATTTTGTTGATTCAGATTTGGTCTTCTGAATAATTTTTCCAATTTTAAATTGGAATTATTCTAAATTTTGTTAAATGAGCCTGAGTACTTCAACGTAAATTTTAATATTTATTTAATTTTCTTAGTGTGAGCCTTATAATTTAAATGCTTTCAATTTTTTTTTGTTTTAAAAATATATTTTGTGTCGTCAAAACGGGATGTTAGGTTCAAGTTGTTATTTATTTTTCAAATAATTCAAATTATTTGTTGACTTCACTTTTATATTTACATATACATTATTTATAATTTTTAATGTGACAAGGTTTAACTATAAAAATTATATATAATATTATTAAAAATAAAAAGAGAACAAAGCTTAATTTTATTTATTCAAAATGTTTTGTTGTTTTTTTTTTCTTATATTTTAAATATTATATTTTAATAATCCTACATAATATACACATAGCATAAATTTAAAACCAGTCAAATTTTATATATCAAAAACAAACTTAAATGGAACAAAATTATATTGTATATAAAAGAACAAATTAATTAATTAATATATATTTTTTTTTCAAATTTCAATAATAATTAGTTTTTATTAAATAGATTTTTAAATTGTTTTTACTAAGCTAAAGTTGTTGTTTTTAATAATTTCTTTATCTTGAAAATTTCTAATTTTAAGAATAATAATTTTTTTTTCAAATTTAATTAATTTTTTTTTTTGTTTTTTCTTTTTAATTCGTATATGTGTATAATTTAAAATTAAAAACAAAAATAAAAGATTAAATAAATCTACATTTTTTATTTCATTTTTGTTTGTATTTTATTCCATTTAATATGAAAACATGATTTTAAGAGCATATTTTCAATTACAAATTTAAATTTAAATTTATTTTTTCTTTTATTAAAAAAATGGAAATCTGAAATTTCTTCGTTTCTGATTAATATTTTATTCAGTTTTTGTTTTTTTATTTAGTTTTTAAAATTTTTTTTTCTTCAATTAATTTATATTGTATTTGTTTTACTCATTTTATATTTTCATTTTATAAAAACTGGCTAAGCACATTCACAATATTTAATCATCATAATATTTTTTGTCATCTTCGTCATTTTAATTTTTCCTTTTCTTATTATACTTTTAAATATTTTTCTTCATCCTTATCGCAATCATCAAACCCATATTTTTTGTTAAAACATCATCATAATCTCTATTGTATATGGATATCATCATTGTCAAAAATTTCAACGTTCAATATTTTTTTTTTTTGTTATCTTGTCTTTCTTCATTTTGTTTTATTCTTGCTCAGATGCTCCTGGATAATAATATGGCGGTGGCCTTTCATATTCAGATGCTGGTGGGGCCATTGGTGGATTTGTATAACGTGGTGGACCACCATCCCAATGTCTTTATTTTTTTTTTATTTTATTTTTGATATTACATAAAAATAAATAAGAAGAAGAATATTTTATTAAATAATAGAAAATATTAAAAAATAAAGAAAATATGATTCTAAAAAGAAAAAAATAATAAAATTATGTAATGTATGTATATGCGATGACAAGAGTGAAAATAAATTGGAGGTTATGTATTTTATAAAATAAGACATCTGCCACAATTAATAAAAATATAATTTTGATTCTGGAGACACATTTTCGATTCCCAACTGTGATATGTGAATTAAAAATTAATATTAATATTGAAGAATTGAAATATAAAGATAAATTAAATAATTTTGAAGAATTTTGACTGTGAAATATTGAATTAAATAAAATACTTAAATATTGAATGTCAGGGATGTACGCGGAAATATTCTCTGTAATTGATATTCATGATTACTCGTTACTGATTTGAGATTAATACTCGTTACTTGACTATTCAAATATTACTTAATAATAAGTAATCAGTTACTTTGAATCTTTAGAAGAATAGAATACCATTTCAGAATACCAATTTCAACCCATCACTATTTTAATGTCCTCAAATACATGTAAATGTATTTTTCATTTTTTTTCAAATTTTTAATATTCTTACTCCTTAATTTGTTAATTTTAATATTTTATATAGCTTAATATTTTGTCGAATAAATATTTCTGTACGATCGCCATATAAAAATTTGGAAATTAGAAGAATTGGAATTATAAAAATAATTTCTAAATATTTACAATGGTTTTTTAAATTTCTGAATAATATAATAGTAAATTATTTACTATCATCGTCTGGAATCATTAATAACAATTGATGAAGTAAGTGGACTAAGGGGTTAACTAACATTTTGACGAAAATCGAGCTGCTCGGCTAGAACATCATTAAATTTCATATATTTTTAACTGTGGTTACTCTTATAGCTATAAATTTAATAGCAGACGAGATCGACAGTGCACATAGGAGTTAAGTAACAAAAAAATTGATATTTTTACAGTTTATTAATGCAAAAAATGTCAGGATGCAAATGTAAGTTAACCCCTTTGTCCACTTACCGCTTTAATTTCTAAATTACATAATTTTTTAATTTTGCAATTTATTAATTTTGGCAGAGATCTTCTGTAAAAAATATAGTTGTTTCAGATTGTGAACAAATAAGTGAAATAACTCTAATTAAGTTTGTTTTTAAATGCGAACAAAATTTTTTAAATTTAAATGTTTTTTCTTTTTTTTTGTTGCTGCTGTTTTAAATACACAAATTATGAATAAATATTTATTTAATGAAAATTTACGAATTGACTAATAAAGAAAAAAAAACAATGAAAAAAGTACAATAATAATTAAATACAAATTAAAATTTATGACAGTTTTGACAATATTTTTGACAATATTAGTTTACAAATTTTGACAAATAAAATACATAATCATAATATTGACGTACATGTATAAAAGTATAGGTAAAAATTGAAATATTTTGTGTTTGTTTTTTTTTTTTGCTAATTTGTTAAATACAATGTTAAATAAGATGAAAAATAATGAACAAAAAAAGCAAAATGAATGAAAATTTTATGTAAAATAAATAAAATTTACTTAATTTTTGACATTTTTCTTCAATATTAATTTCAACCAATAATTATAAATTTACAATTTTATGTTAACTAAAATTAACAAAAAATTATTTACATTTTGAAAAACAATTGGAAAAAAAAATTTAACCAAAATATAAATAATAAAATGAAAATTTACTATAATTAAAATATAAATTAAAATTAGAAAAACAATAAATGTTCTTGAGTTATACAGTGAGTGCTTATGAACCATATTTTTAAAAAAATACTTATGGTTCAATTCAACTCAATTATAAAAATTAATCCCAACCAAACTGGAGAGAAAGCAATTGAATATGAATACAAGCTCAATATTAAGCTATATATGAATGGATTTTATTGGAACCAGGGATTTTATTCAGATATATTTATATAGTAAAAAATATTATATTAATATTTTATAAAATTATTCTTATAACACAATATAATTATATTTTTTAGAGGAATTGCGTTAAGACAATTTTAAAACAAGCATAAAATGAACTGATTATAGCGACACAATATAGAAAGCGGAAATGTATTTAATGAAGATTGTAATGATCTAAAATTTTAATTAATCAAAAATCATAATAGAATCAAGAATGCGTTTTTTGTACCTTACAATTTAATCAAATTTATTTATTTACATAAATACATATACATTTATACAGTTAATATTTTGGTTGAGATCAATTTTTATTATAAGCACAATTTAAAATTTATAAAACAAAAATGATCTGAAATTTTAATATAAATTATTTGATTTTTTATGAAATTTATGTATGTTGCTATAAGAATTTAAATAATTGTTTATTTTAAAATGTTTTAGGTAAAAGAAGATTTTGGAAATAACAATTCACAAATTAATAACAATTTTTCATGAGTAAACTGACAATTTTCCGGGAGTTACAACAGTTATTATGCCGATAGGGAAATATGAAAATATATTTTAAATTCAATTGAGAATATTCCAGTATTATATGCGAAAAACAACTAAAAACTAAAGAAAAACAACACAAATTAAAAGAAAAATTGAAATAAGAAGCAAAAATATAGAGCAGTTTCTCTAATACCTAATAGTTTAGATATTACATATTTAGATATAGAGTAAAAATGCTCATAGATTGGAAAATTCTGGTGCATTTTGTTATATCACATAAAAATCCTGTATTACATAAAAATCAGATGACATAGTTAGTAATTTTGGACAATATTTCCAAAATATATGTTTCCAATATTTGATGGCGATTGTTATTTGTAAAAATGCATTCAAAAATGCAATGAAAAATATTTCAATGGTTTTAATCAGAGTACGCAATTATGTCCTCCTGAGGAAAAAAACAAAATATACCTCTAATGTACTGTAAAATTTTCATTGTCCCAATTAATATAAATTATAAATTGTAAACAATATAGCCTTAATTATATTATATAAATTTTCTAATTTCTTTAAATGTCACAAGAAATATAAGATTGTCTTCATGTATTATATGTAAGAAAGTACATGTATTTCAAATAGATTTTTTAACTTTAAGTAGAATTTAAAGTATAAGATGTTTAAGTATAAGATGTAAATTGCCTATTCCATAGAATAAGTAGATTTATCAGTTTTCATTATAAAAACGCATTGTATAACTATTTTTACTAAAATGTGTTAGAGAAGCAAAAATTAAATAGGTACCTCTAACTTGCTCTGACTTTAAATTTTTAAAGAAATTTCGTTGAAATTTGCCGAAAAGATAAAATACTGGATAAAATAGACTTTTATTTAGGGGAGTTTTAAAATTTTAAAAAGTAAATCAAAAAAATATCGAATGAAATAAAATTAGTTTTACAAGTATACTCGTATATGAAATTCTATTTGTTTTTATTTTTATGAAAAATTTTATGGGACGAAATTTTAGATATATATCAATAATAATTTTTTAATAATTTAGAAAAATATTATTTATATTTTATTTAATTCTAAAACAAATGTTTCTTTTTTAATGAAATCCATGAATAATTGAGAACAACAGAAAATAAATTAAAAAAACACAAATGAAGAAAAAAACTATAATTTTTTTTTTTCAACAAATAAAATTTTTTTTTTATTTATATACATGTATGTATATACATATATATATATACAGATAAACAACATGTTTTAGATTTAAAAAACAAAATCTATTTAAAAAAAATTTTATTTTTTAGTGTTTTTACAGATTATAAAAATATTGATTGATGCTTTCTTAGAAATATAGGTAATTAATTTAAAAAAAAAGAATTGAATTAGGACACAACAAAATGATTAAAAATTATATTATTATTAAAAAATATACAAAAAACAGAACAGAAAAAAAAACAAATGGAAATTATAACCAAGTACCTAAAAGAAACCATCTCCTTTGAGTGCTCTTGGCCTTGTATCAGAACCCTCATCACTAAATTTTTTTTTTTTTAATTTTATTTTCATTTTTTTTTGTTTTAATTTTAATTTATATTATTTGTTTGTTTGTTTTTTTAAATTAGTTTTTATTTAAGAAAAAATAAAAAAATATTAAAATATATTTAATATTATATTAAAAGTATATATACATTTATATATTTATATATATATTTAAATTGAGATATATTGAGTCTTGTACACATTAACATCGCGTCCCAGTTTTTAGACTAATCGGAACAATTCGATTTCAAATTTAATTTTAAAAAATTTTCAAAAAATTCTACAATTTGCCAAAAAAATAAAATTATATTCAAACCAGTTGATTGAAATTAAAAATTTTTGTAATATATATTTTGATTATAAAGAGAAAATTTCAATAAATTTCAAATTATCATTTGTTATTCTTATACAATTGACATTTGTATAAAACGTCAAAAAGAATCAAAAAAAAAAAATTTAAAATACTATTTGGTTACAACATCGCAAGCTTGGAATTTGAAATATGAGTCCGTAAGGTGGCCGAATACTAATTTCATAATTGGTATTATAAAGTATTTGGCATTTTGAAGCAGATATAATCAAACATTGTCAGTAGTCAATGTCATAGTAGGCATTTAGGAATAGATTTTTAAAAGGACGAGTAATATAAATTTTCATTTAAAAAGATTATATGTACTTATTGATTTTGAATTTCCTGTGGATTTATTTCAAATTTTATGATATTTAATTTAATTTATGTACGATATTTAATTTAAAATAAAAGATTTTAAATATAAAATGCATATTTCATTCTCTCAAATGTTTTGAATTGTCAATTTATTTTAAAATATTTATGTCAGTATAGCAGCTATCAGGCATTTTAATATCATTTAAATTTTCTTTATAATCAACAATTAATAGAGACTATTTATTGTAAAATATAAAATAAATTTATTATTAAATATTTTATTAAACCAATTTACTTAAATTAAAATTGTAATTTTTTTCATAAATGTGTACTAGACTTTTAAATAGAAATAAATATATAGAAGTTTGTTCGTTTTTCTTTAAAAAATTCACAATTTTTATTAATACGAATTAATCCTAACTTTTATTTATTTTTTTCTTGTTTTTCTATCTTTCAAATTTATAACAATTAAACCTATATTTTTTTACCTTTATCTTGATTTTATTTTTTATAAATAATAAATATTTAACTTAACAATAATTATAATTTGAGTAATTATTTATAACATGATCTATATATTTGAAATTTGAACTAATTTAATTTATTTCAATTTTATACCTATATATAATATAATAAAATAACACTATATAACTCAATTAAGAAAATTAACAAATATTTTACGATAAAAATATAAAAGAGACAATTAAAAAAAAAAAAACAAACGAATTATAAAAATTTCAAAAAATTTTTAAATATTAAAATTAAATTTAGATTAAAATTAAACGAAACGAAAACAACAAATTACTAAGAAAAAAAAATAAAAATAATTTTGCACAATGCATAATTTAAATTAAAAATATATTAAATAAAAGAAAAACCAAAAACATGATTGATGACAAATTGATAAGAAATTGACAACAATGACGGTTGTCAAAAATGACATGAAATTTTTTGATATGTTTGAAATTTTTTTTTTTCAAATTCTACTTTCATTTTTATTAAAGTGGAAAAAAAATTTATAGTAATGGCTATTATATAAATTCACTTACTTTGGTGCCATGTCATTATAACGTGTATCACGTCCACCAGTGCCAACTTGTCCATGTGATGAACCAGATTCTTCATAATAATCACCACGACGATCACGTGAACCACGAGAACGATCCTTTTTTCTTCGTTTATTTTTAGGTCCACTTTTTTGATTTTTAAATTTTGGATTTTTTTTTTATTTTTTTTTTAATTCGCATTTAGAAATTATAGTTATTGAAAGAAATAAATTAAAAATTTGAAGATAAAATAAACAAAAAAAATAATATGTATTTTTTTTAAGGAGAACAAAATGTAATTAAAAAATTAATTATATTTATGTATTTATAGGATAAAACGAAAATTAGGAAAAAATAAAAGACAAAAATTATTTTGATAATGAATAATTGAGTATTAAAAGTAATAGTTTCAAAAATAAAATTTAAATTGAAAAATCAGAGAAAGACAGGGAATAAATTTTATTCAGAAATTTAGATTTCAACTGAATTCAAATCAATTTCAGCAACTGAATTCAATTAATTCAATTGAGATCTAACTAAGATAATCTCGTATTATATTAGTACATACTAGAAAAGATAAATATTTATAAACCTATCATGAAAATAAAAAAAATTCTATGTATATATGTAAGAAATAGGTCGTCTATATCCAAAAAATAAAATACACATTTAATGTAAACCTCTGACTGATTCAGATATACGAGTACAAGTTCAATTGATTACTTCAAATCCAAATAAATTAGTTCAAATCTGAATTTAGAAGGTTTTTGACATTTGAGTCTCTTAATAAATATATGTTAACATCATATGAACTGAAATTTAATTCAGTTTGTTAAGTAAAAAGCAAAAGCAATTAAACAAATAAAACTTTAAATATAAAATTTATTTAATATGTACACATAATGAAATGTGAATACCAAAACCAACATATAAAATAAATATTATATTAAACACAATTTTTTAGATTGTGCTTAAATTAAATAAATAATCATATATCAATTTCATAACATAACAGTGAAAGTAAACAACAGTGTTTCCGTTATGGATCTCAAAATGTGAGTAGATTTCAAATATAAAAAAAAAAACTAAAACCGGAGTAAAAGGAGAACGAAATGGAATAATTAATTCATAATATTACAGGAAAATCAAGTAAAATAGAGAAGAGAAGAGAAATTTGAACTAAAATTTGATTAAGAATTTGAACGAAACAAACATTGAAATAAGAGAAAATTAAAATTTTTTAAAAGAAAATACTAACAATAAGATAGTTGATTGTTAATTAACAAAACAAATGCAAATTACTTACTTTGCTAATGGAATGTTATCACGTTCACTGTAGGCATCATACAAATATTCTCTGAAAATTTTTATTTAAGATGATTTTGTTTTTTTTTTTTTTTTTGATTGTATGAATGATTTAAAACAAATATACAAAACATAAATAAATAAAAGGAAGAGAAAGAAAAGGAAAAATAAAATGAAAGAAAGGCGCAAAATTAAAATTATTTAAAAATTAATATAAAAAATAACTAATATAGCAAGTAAAAATGAATACATAAAACAATAAAAATAATTTTAAAATTTACACAAAAGCATATTGGAGACATAATAAAAATATATTCGAAAAAAAAAACAAATAAAAACGAAAAACAATAAAATATGAAAACATATAAAAATTACTTATATTAATCATATTTATATACTTATATATGAAATAAATAAATATATTTAAAAAAAGCATGCATAGCCAATTCTATATAAAATTATTTTTAATTTTATTTTTTTGCATATTTTTTTTTTTTTTTAATCTTTAATAAAATTTAGAAAAATTAAGTATATAAAACAAAAAAACATTATTTTTAACAATCAAACATTTACAATTATTAAATAAACCTATGTAAAAGAAAGAGCCTAAATTTCACCTAATCTTTATAATAATTTATATTATTAAAAAAAAAAACATAAATGTATGAAATAAATAAATTGCTTATGTTTAATTCTTTAAAAAAATCTTTAACAAGATTTAATTATTTTTATTGAATTCTGTTTTTGAATAATTCTGTAATTAAATTATAAAACTCATTTTAGTTTAATCTTTTCTGTCAAACAAATGTCAGATGTTTTATTGCCAAAAAATAATTTAGTTTTTAAACTTTGATACACATATTTCAGGAATTTGATTGATATATCATTTATTAAAATCGATTTAGTATCAGTTTTATATGTCAAATCGACTGAAGTCAATAATAATTCTGACATTTATATTATTCTGGATAATTAACAAAACTATTACTAATCAAATAAATCGAAAATCGACTTCATTCTTATGGTAAAACTTAAAATATATTAAATAAAACTATTGAACAAAATCTGCATCCATAATAGGAAGATTGTTTTGAATCACCTTCCATAATGGAGCCATCAATTAATTCTGAAGAAAGAAACTATAGTGCCAGGCAGTACAGTGCTGCCTTCTTAAAATTACAGAATTTATGAAAAATTTTTATGATTATAATATTAATAATTAAAATGACGACATAATATTAATTTAAACAATTTCATACATTTATGTTAGAAAAAACAAAAAACAAAAACGAGCATGTAATTTAAAAGAGCTTTTTATCGTAATTTTTTATATTTTACAATAAATACATATTAAAGCAATAAAAATAAATTTAAATAGTGTTTTAAACGTGAAAAAAAAACAAAAAATGCATGGAAGCAAGAAATATTTAAGCAAAATAAAATATGAAATTTAATTAATCATAAAATACAAAATCTTATTAATAAATAAAGAAAAATTTGTATGGTAGAACAGAATAATTGATTTTAAAATTCCCAAATTCCCAAAAGCAATATTATAATATTTATTCATATTAAAAAATTCTAACTTACCCTGTTAAATAAAAATTCAAATGGGTAATGATAATAATTAAGAAAGGAGGGAAAGTAAGCATTGTATAGAATTTTTCCAAATTGAAGTTCTTAAACCTTATTTAATTTTTAAGTTTGTAGTGCATATATACATTTTTGGTTAAATAATAATTATTATGGGTTAAATGAAATTAATTATTTATTTATAATTAATATGGAAGTTTCAAAATTACTGTCATATATTTTAGAATAGTCTTATCAAATTCGGAAAACTTGTTTTTAACCTGAATTATTAAACTGAACTAGATTTAAATTATTTTAATATTTATATTTAATATTTAATATATTGTTATTGAATTTTGGAGCGTAACATGAGTTAAAAATAATTACTAAAAAAAATGAGTGTTTAATAAAATTTTTATAGACTCACTTTTAGGCTGAATATTAAAGTTATAAGAAATTATTTTAGTTTAATAAATGATGAGAAATAAGGGACTTGTAATAACACAATAATGAAATAAATTAATATAATTAAATCATGTATTAATTAATATAATCGAAATATAATATTAAATTATTTATTTTTAAAATAATTCTTGAATTATTTTCTAAAAGTTTTCTCTTTCGTGAATTTAAGGAATTAAAGTATTAATTTTGCTTTATTAAAAAAAAAATAAAATTAAAAATATAATTTGAAACTAAATAATAAAATTAAATAATAACTCAAAAACAATTTTTTTGAAAATAATATAAAAATAATTTTTATTATTACATATAAAATTATTATAAAAACTTTTTAAAATATTAATATAAATTTTTACAAGAAAAAGCTCATATAAATCACATTTAACAATAAAATTCTATATAATAATCTAATTTTGCTTTTCTAAAATGTATTTTTCGATCTAGAAAAGAAAAACAAATTAAAAAAAAATTTAAGTATCTAAAAAAAATTATTAAAAATTATTGTTTTTTTTTTTTTAACTGTTGTGTAAAAATATTTTAATTTTTTTCTTGTTTTTTTAAAATTTACTTAACATTTCTTTTCCTAATTTTCTTATATATAAAAAAAACATTTGTTAATAAAAAAAAATGTTAAAACTATCAAACTTAACCCTTTTCAAATCTGTTTTAACTATATTAAAATAAAATATACTTACGATTCAACTAATGGTCCAGGATATGGATCAGACTTTTGATATAAACTTGATAATTTAATACTTATCACAAGTGTCGGAAGGAATAACATTACACACCATCCTAGACCAGCCCAAAAGCCATTCTAAAAATTATTTATAAATAAATATTAAATATAATTAAAAATTATTAATAAATATTATATTTTTACTTTAATTTTATATATGAAATAAAATAATGTATATTAAAAATACTTACAAGTGGATCAACAATTTTATTACAACCTAGTACAACACCAGATGCATAAACATTTGCAATTGGAGCACATTTACCAATTTCTTTTTCAATTGCATTTATTACAAATTCTAAATATTTTTGTATTTGATTTTTGAAAAATTGTGCCAATTTAACAGCTTCTTTACGTACAAAATTTTCACCATGATCACGTATATAATTTTGTGCATGTTCAATTTCTTTTAATATTTCATTTATTGAATCATCAAATGGTTTATCTTTTAATTTTAAATTTTTTTGTAAATTCAATGCTAATTGACTTAATTCTTTTGAATGATCACGCATTGGTTGAACTAAATTATGCTGATATGTTTCTAAATGTAATGCTTGATTTTTTAAACTTACTTCAACATCCATCATTTTACTATTACTTTTTATATTTTCGGCTGTTTGACGTAATTTAATTGCAATTTCATTTAAATCATGTAATGTTATATTCTTTTCTAAATTATCAACAAATTTATCAGCATCAAAATTTTTTAATTGTGAATTTTTTAATTTTTCAATTTTTTCTTTATCAGTTTTATTTAACATTACAAAACGATCAGTATCAATTTTTATTTGTTCCTTTAAATTCTCTAATGTTTTATAAATACCATAATCATTTGGATATTCTTTAATATGTTCAATATCAATATAATTTTGTGTTCTTAATACATCATAAATTGTTTTATTTTTTTGACAATCAATTATAACATTTGATATACGGAACGGTGGTAATGCTCCAGTATTTTGAAAATTTCTACCATTTTTATTTTTACTTTGAACATTTTGATTAAATAATTTATTTAAATCAACATAATTATCAATATATTGGAATATTTGATCACTATCTGGATTACTATATTATATATAAAATAAAATAAAGAAATTTTGATAAAAAATTTTTGGAAATGACTTAATGAATTTTTCAATTTCTATTCATTAATTTTTAAAACCTTATTTTTTAGTATTTCAATTATTTAATGAAATGAATTTTTATATGAATTTAGTTGATTAATGGAAATTTGATTTAGATAGTTTAAAATGTACAACAGTTAAAAATCTTTTACAAACTATAGGTTAGTGTTGGGTGTTATAAACAGTAGAATTTTACATTTATTTACTTATTTATATTGTGAAATATTTATATTTGTTTAATGAAAAATTAACTACTCTTATAAGTTTTTCTTATTTAAAGTTTTTAAGAGTTTTTAGTTTTAGTTTGGATGAATTATAAATTAGAAAATGAATGAATATTTAAAATTCTATTCGTAATACCAAAGAATATATAAATATAAAAATAAAATCAAAAGTTTTTATTTTTTTCCCTTATATATTCTTTAGTAACACGAATTATAATATATAACTGATAACAATTAGTAATTAGAAAAGAATTGGTTCTACATAATTATATGAATTTGATGATTTTATGAATGATATAAGAATAATTATAAATTATAAATGATCTAAAATGATGACAAAATTGTCTAAAAATATAATAGATTTAATAAAAAATGATATTAAATATTTAATTTGTTATGATTTTAATATGAATTCATACATAAAATGAAAATAAGAAAACTTCTAAATGATTTTTTAATAGAATCTTACTTTAACGGCACACAAACACCACGGTGAAGAATTAAACCAGCTAAGAAATGTATTAATGTTGCTGCAGCTAATACTGATATTGTCAAAAATATTACGGATATAGCTCTAAAAATATACAAAAAAAAAATTATATTTTTAATTGTTATTTTCAATTGAACAAATGTAAACGGAGAGCAAATATGTATATAATTTTAATACTAACAGCATTAAAAATCTTGCACCAGAACCTTTATTACAGCAATCATCACCATAACCATCTGGACGTTTACCACATATTCCACATAATAAAGCAACTGTTAGAGCACATAACACCTAAAATGAAAAAGTTTTATAAGTTTTGTATTTTAGAAAATTTTTACATTTAATGAAATAAAGGTTTTAATGAATCTACAAATATTGTTTTTAAGAAGCAAAGACTTTTTTTTTTGCTAAATTATTTTTTTGTTAAAAATTCTTATTAAAGAGATTTATTCATCATTACAATCTTCAAGAAATCTTAACATTTAAAATTAATAATTTTGAATTCTTAAAATTTAGAACAATATTGGAATATTGACTGTTTAGGAAATCATAAATTTCAAATCTCTTGAAAATTTAACAATCTTTCAATTCTTTAAAAATAGGATTCACTAACAACTAATAATAACAAATTTATTTATATGACTTCCTACCAATAATAAAACTGAACTAATAGCAACACCAATATAAAAACGATAGATACTATATTCATCTAAATATTTATCAGCTTCATATGTATAATAATCAGTTTTATTTCCAATAACATTTGACATTGTATCCATATAATTTGCTAATTGATTACTCAATTGTTTAATTGCATCACCTAAAATCAAATAAATAAAAAAAATAATAATTCATGTTCAATTTAAATATTTGTATACAAAAATATTTACCAGCTTTAGTGACTGCATCATTAACTTTTGGAATATTTGTCATAATTGCATCATTTAAACTTGTTTTCATTTCATTTATAGCTTTATTACCATTAGTAACAGCATTTGCAACATCACTATTAACTAGCTCTTGAACACTTTGAATAATATTTGTAACATCAGGTAACTAAAAAAAAACGAAAAAAGAATTATTAAAATGACTATTTTATTATAATTTTTAAAACTTAACTTAAAAAAAAACTTAAATTTTAAATTTTCTGAATTCTAATAATATTAACATTCAGAATTCTAAAATATTCTAAATAATGTTTTAATAATTCTAGAATATTCTAATAATATTAGAATTCTAATAATATTGAATCTGACAATACAGTATTATTATTGCATAATAGCATTTATAGGAACTTAAATTTTAAATTAAAAATTGAAAATCTTTAAAATAAAAAGGTAGGTACGAAAACTAATATTAAATAATAAACAAAATATTAATATTTTAAATTGACAAGTTATAAATTAAATAAAAATAATTATTTTTTATGGCTTTTAATAAAATCAAATATTTGTAGGTGCATACGTTGAAGAACAAAATTAAATTAAGATTAAAATAAAATTTGTATAATAAATTTGCATTCAAAATAATAATTTGTTGGTGAATTAAATTATTATTAAATAATGATATAACAATTAATAATGAACGAAATAAGAAGAATTTTAAAATTAAACCTTTTCTATTCAATAAAAATTAGTAAAAATAAAGTAAAATTTTAAACGCAAATAGCTAAGTTTTTAAATTATAAAATCAATCAAAAAAAACAAACTCAGAAAATGATTTTTGTTTCCAAAAATATTTTATATATAAAACATACCCTTGGAAAATATCTGTCTTCCACCTTTTATTATTATGAAAAATAGTAAGCATGAAATGAAATCAAAAATTAATTTTTGAAAAATATTCACAACTTTTGTTTCTTTTAAAATTTAATATTATAGAAGAACAAGTTGCGTAGCCTCTTGAATATTAAGAATAGGTTTCAATATTATATTAAAAGCTTAGCATGTATTATTCTCAATACATGACGTATCATTCTTCAATTTTTTGTTAATAATGCAAATATTGAATGCGTTTTTAAATATAATAGAAATATTGAATAGATTTTCTATATTTAATACATTACAATAATTAGGAAATAAAGGTTTTATTAAAAAATTTGAGATAATATAGCATAAACAAGGTAAATTTCAATCCTAAAATGTTTAATTACATTTTTATATAGAATTTAGAAAATTCTTAACTTAAGTTTACTGATAGCATTGAATTGTGTACTTTAGTGAAAATTTCAATAAACTCTTCTACATATGAATCCAAAATTCTTTCTTAATACATTAAAAAAGCCTTAAAATACATAATGCCTTATACAAATAATTTTCGAGAAATGCAATTAATTTGTTGAACATTTCATTTCAAGTGTTTTTTTTTTTTAATTACTATTGAGAATTTCATTCAAGCTGTACCTGATTATAATCAATTCCATTTGCATCTAATTTACCAATTTGATAATTTCTCATAACATCCTTACAATCTTTAACATTACATTTATTTAATGATTGTAAAAGTTCTCTTTTAACACCACGTAAACCTAAAAATAAAATTAGTAATAAAACATAATTAGAAATTTTTCAATAATTAGAAATTTTAAATTTCTTGTTTTAATTATTAATTACCATCGCTTAATTGTGATGCATTCACTCGTAATTCATTTGTAATTGTTTTCATTCTTTCTAAATTACTTTGTATTTCTGGAAATGTTTTTACAAATGCTGTTAAATGTGTTAATGATACTGCTCTTGATGTTTCTTCTAATTCATTAATAACAACATCGGACGTATCTAAAAAATAAAAGATATTTTTATTTTTTGATTAATAAAATATAATTTCCTAATTTGTTAAAATGAGTACATGCCAGAAATAGACAAATAATCAAACGTAAAGTGAGACATCTGCAGGAAAATCTTTTAAAATTATACAATACTTACTTTTTAATACATTTTGTAATTGATTTGACAATTGATCATAATTATGTACTAATAAATAATCGACTTCTTGTGTTGTCGCTTTTAAATATTTCTGAAGATCTTGTGTACCCTTTCTTACTGTTGTCGTTGATGTATCAATACCCTCTTGTATATATGTATTAGTTGCAAATGTTACAACAACTCCAAATCTATATTGAATTTTTTTTTTTTGAACATGCAGAGAAAAAAAGAAAATTTAAGAAAAAAATATTAGAATTTTTTTAAATATTTCAAATATTTTGAATAATTTTATAAATATAATTTTGTTTTGATATGCAATATACTTACAAGGTACTGCAATATATACTTACAAGATTCCAGTTGTAACACAAATTAATAAAAGTCCTAAAAATACTCGTCGGCATGTATCATGTTTTTTATCAAATGGTTGAGATCTACCACCACAACTTCCAGCACAACGGCAGCAACAGAAGCATAATCTAAATTATAATTGAAAATAATTTGTAATATAGCGATATATTGTATATAAATTCACAATTACTTGAATACTTATATAACTATATGTATGTGTTTATATTTTCGAAAAATATATATTTTTAAAATAAGATTTGAATTTAAATTTTAGTTAAATGCAATAATAGAATACATAAAATTCTTAAATACTTGTTAATTTAAAAGTAATAAAGTAATCATGTTGACAATAAAGAATTCAATATTACATTATGTATTACATAAGTGAATCATTGTAAACACAAAATATGATTGATTATTGATTACAAAATTAAAAGAAAAAAATTTTATCAACTATTTTATCTAAAAAACAATTTTATCAACAAATAATTTTTTTTAAAAAAAATCTTTATATTTTGAACATAATATCTAAAAAATTCTGACATTATGACGTTTTAAATTTTGTTATAAAAATATAACAATTTTTAATTCTTGCATATTGAATAGCTGCAGTGAAAGAAAGATATAGCTGCTTTGATAAACTAGAAGGACACCATCTACTGAAAAAATTTCATAGCTTTAAAGTTAATTCTCAAATAAAATGAGATTTTTGGATTTTCTTCAAGAGGCTATTCAAATAATACGAAATGGAAGATCAGAAAAATGTCAAAATATATGAATGACAAGCTCTTTAGAGTACAAATTTTATTGCTTACAAGAATCCATATTTCGATTTTATAATCGAAATTATAAAAATTAATAAAATTTCTTTAAAAATTTTTTGAGGAAAATTTAAATTTCAAGTTTAAATTGTTATATTTGTAAACATTATATGTATATTTAAAATTCATTAAGCTGTATAATTTAAGCAATAATATTTAAAAATAACAAAATTTTCCCCCATATTTTTAAAGTTTCCCAATATTTTTTTTCAATCATGTCATTGTTAATAATTTTTGTATTTAATTTAAAAAAACAAAACGCCTGCAGATAAATTTTTTTTATTAATAAAATCATTTTCTATTAGTCACGCAATTTATGAACTTTATATATATGTATATACAACATGCATTTTTTATTTATTTTACAGACCAAAAAATTATTACATTATTTTATTAGTACATACATATATACAAGTATATCATGAATATATACTTGTATTCTGGCTAATGTGTATATATGTAAATAATATTGTATAGATTAAAATTTTAGAATACAACAAAAAAAAAAAGAAATGCCAAATTACTTTTATATTTTATTTTGCAATGAAATCAAACACTTGAAAAATAAATAAAATAAATAAAAAGGGTTGTTGAACGATTCAAAATTACAATTCTTTTATATTCTATATTATACAATATTTACATACTAACCCATCTGCATACATGTAAAATTCTAAATTATTATATGAAATTATTTTTGAAAATATAAGCACATCACAGTATAATAATAAATTTTTTATATTTGTAATATGTTCCTAATATTGTTATACTGTTATATTTTACAATATATATTGTTATTTTTTACTAAAACTATTATCTATATATTTATATATACTAATAATAATCTAAATAAATATAATATTACCCAATTATAGGCATTAGTACAACCAGTAATGCAGTGATAACAATAACAAGTAAAATTGCCCAATAATGTTTAAGTAGATCACCCCAATCATTATTATGAACTTTTGATCCAAATTGAATATTACCCTCTGTGACAACTATATAATCTATAATTATAAAGAATATAAAAAAAATATATAAATACATAGTAAAATTTAGTAAAATTAAATAATATATAATTGTATAAAAATTAAAATAACAAAAAAAAAAATTTAATAATAATTTAAATTTATGATTGCATATAATTAGTAAAATATTAAAGTATACAAAATTTAATAAACATTTATGAAGGTTTTTGTTTTGCTCATAAATAAAAAATGTAGGATAGAACGGGACTTAACGGAACATATACGTACATTTTGAATTAAAATTGTATAGAGTAAATGTAGATTGAATATATTGATGTATAGTACATCGATAAATTGCAGTAACTACTAGACTAACTATAGCAATTAGTACAATAATTCTAGAGCAATTAGTAACACAGTTACTAATCATTCAGAAAATAAAATTGAAATAAAATTTTTTCCGCTAAATATTAGTATAAAACTCAGCTATATTACGTTGTGAAACAATATAACTGTACAGTTTACAACTGCAATTTGAATGGCAGGGATGTACGTAATTAGTATTTAAATTATTAGGCCGTTTCATGAATGCAGTTTATTGTGATATATAGTGAAATATGTGCTATATATTAAGTGGTTACAAATATTGGTTGCTAAATTTTCGTAATACAGCGTAACTAATATGTATAGAACAGTTAAATCATATAAACTTTCAAAAATATTCTTTTATTTTGGAGGATAGTTATTGAATATTGCATATTCATCACGGAATACTTCTGCAGTATTGCATTTATGAAAATATCTATTATGCCTTTACAATTCTGTGATTGTTCTTCTGTGATCTATATCATGCCTAAATTTAAATTGTATTTACTGTGTTGACATACTATTCTGCATATTAGAATGTTAACTTTTATAACAGTTAAATGATACAACTGTAATTTTGGATTTTAAATTAAAATTGAAGTGAAATTTTAGATATGACATTAAATTTATGGAATATAAATATTATAATTCAGCAAGTAACTCTTACAATCACAATTGTATATCGAAGCAGTATTATTGCATTTCTGAAGTTAATGATAGTTATAACAAACATTTGTCAAGTATCAGTATGCATTTTTTTTTTGTTTTGAAATTATTATGATGGTGTACACAGTATAGAGATTTTTAGCTAAAATTTCCACATATGAAAATGAATAAATGAGAAAAATAGAAAAAAAAAGAACATACAGAAAAGAGGGGCCCAAATATAAATTTTGTAATTAAAATTTAATGTTTCGGAATAAATTTTATAACATTTGCATGGTCAGTCCTCTTATGGCTTTTTATATATATATATTTTTTTTTGCTTTATTTTATTATAATTTCCTTTTTTAGGTCACCGACATTTTATTCGTTTTTGCTTTATTTGGCTTCATTTAATACGAAATAAAAAAAAAACAAAATTTAAAGCTTTAATAAAATTTCCTAATATTTGAAAACATTTGGGAAAATTTCTTTTTTTGTACCCAATAATTATAGATAATTCTTGTGCAGATATGAAGACAAATGCTTTTAAGGGATTAAGTATATAGTAAGTATATACCATGAAAATATACTAAGTATAGTTCAATTTATGAGTTTTACTAATTCTAATTTATATATGTATATGGCACAATAATCCATAGATTTTCTATTTTTAATAAACCACAACAAAATTTAATAGAAAAAAAAAATTTTGGAAGATTAACTTTAACCCAATTGGTTTTTATTTAATATAATTGTGTATGGAAAAGTACAGAGATTTTACATCTCTTAAATTTATTAAAAATCATAAATTCTATTCCATATATAAATAAATAAATTCGTGGGGCCCTCTAAAAGAATGCAAGATATTTGGAAAAAAGATTTAAAAGTTAGAATTCGAAAATCATTTTAACAAATTCAATTTTACAAAAATAGGGTAAATTTGAACGCGTTCAGGGAACTAAAATGAAGCTGTAATTCAAGTATGGTCAATAGTATGTCATATAGAAAATTCATTTAAAAATAATATTAAGTTTTCTTAATATGTAATTCAATATTTCATGAAATTCGATTTGTGAATAATACAGTTAAATTCTTCAATTAACTGTATTTCTTCAGAATTCTTCAGAAATATTTCAATTATTTGCGATTTATTTTCATGAATCTTGTCATAATATTTCTGAAAAATTAAATTTTTTATTCAACATAATTTTGAAATAATTATAAAAATAATTAATTTTACTTTTTAAATATTAAAATTTCATTCGGAATTAAGAAAGATTTTACAAGGATTTCCAAATTAAATTGCATATTTAATAATTTAGTAATTTCACACACCCTGAAAATATGCAATTTTTTTATTTTTATATATAATATGAAATATTGAAGGACCTTAGCTATATAGAAGAGTAGAAGAAGAAATACAATATTTAAAATTGTTTAATGCAATTTCATTTTTTTTCTAATTATGATGGAAAACATTTAAAAATCTTGATTTAATGTTGGAGATTCATTTATAAAATTTTACATATACATACGAGTATATCAATTGTTTGTTTCAGCATACACTTGTTTAAATGTAAACCTTAAAATTTTTTAGTAATAACGAAATAATTTTAAGGTATTAATTTATAAAAATTTTCAAAGACATGGTTTTTTAACATATGTAATAAAATTTTTAGTATTCAAATTTATGAACTTCAAATAATTACTTGGAAAATGTGTCCGAAAATATTTAATAATTATTTAAAAAAATCCCATGCACATATAGTTCATAAACCGTTAATTGTGTTCTGAAACACACAAATTCCTAAGAATACCAAGACCAATTAAATAACCAAATTTTATTACTATTTTAATAAATAGCAAATTACCCGGAAACAATTATTAATCACACATTTTATTTAATTAAAAATCGCATTCTATCAAGAATACAAAGATAATGTACAAAATTTATTAAAGTCTTCCTACATCCTGCTTTAATATTGAGAAATCAAGAAAATTATAGAAAAAAAATTTTTATTTACCTTCTGGTATCGCTTCTTTACCAATAAACCAATCTAATATTTGATTTGTTGCATTATATAATGGGCCCATACCTCTTAGATAGTATTTAGTACTACTTGCATATGTAACATTTTTATTCAATGTACTTAATTTAATATCTTCATATTCTACTAAATTTTCTTCTTGTAAATCAGTCGCATTTATTATGGTGGGCATACTTAATAAAACTAAAGCAGTGATGAATGTCAGGAGCAAATTTAATTTTGGCATTATAATAAATTTTTTTCTTTCTATTAAATTAAATATAATTTTTTTATTATTTATTTTATTATTATTATTATGATTATTAACTAAATTCAGTTCATTATTATCATAATTTTTAATTAATTTATTATAATTTTTTTGTTGAAATATTTTTGATGTAAGAATATTATTTTGTTGTTGTTGATTTTGTTGCAGATGTTCTCCATTTTGTTGTTGATGTTTTTGTTGTTGTTGTATTTTTGATTGTTTTTTTTGCATTTTTAATAATTTCATTTTATCTATGGTTTTATTTTATATTTCGGTTCGTTTTTTTTTTCTTCAAATATTTTATATTTAATATTCATATATACATATATAATTATATATATATATGTATATTTATTTATATTTAAATCATTTGATATATTGAGATGACTTTTTGTTTCGGGTTGTCTCTTTTCGTTTTTCTTTTTTTAAATTATATCCTCCTCAGTTGTTGTAGAAATCAAAAATTATTATATGTGAAAAATTTAAGATAAAAAAACAGGAAAAGTTTTGACCTGAAATACAAAAAAAAAAGAAATATGAAATTTATTAAAAATAAATAATTTTTTATTTTTTATTTTATAAATATTAATTTTTGTGTATAACAGAGTGATATGGAAAATGAATGACCTCAATGTTTATTATTGAATATTTTTGACCATATATAATATGCAATTTGTATCATACACATAGACTATATCCTTGGGCTACATGCATATTATGATATGATACAAATGCAACACAGTAAAAACACAAATATAAAAATAAAAAAAAATTGTTTTTTTTTTTAGAAATCTAAAAAAAATTCAAATAAATTTTATAATCAGAATGCACACATGTAGAAAATTATTTTAATATATCACAACATATGCGCTATTAAAATTTCTATCATGAGATAAAAAAAAAAAAAGAGAGCAAGAAGCATTTGAATTTATTAAAATGAAATTAATAATTTTTATTTTAAATTTCAAAAAAAATCTATATTATCCTTCAGATTCTATATATAAATATAGAAAGTCTGCAATCTCTATATTTTTGCAATCATAAGTGTGTTGTCAGTGTTGCTTGAAGGTCGAGTATAATAAGTAAATAAAAATTTCATCTACTATCAACTGACATCTATTGTCTGTATCAAGTCTTTGTTTAAATAAATCTTAAAAATCATATACGTTTAACGATACAGTATTGTCGTTATGATCACACGATAGAGTTTTCGCAAATATCTGTACCAACTAATATTCGCATTATATTATAAAATTATCACCCCGATTGTAACGTTAGGAAATCTCGTTTAAAATTTATTAGACATAAGTAGATAAATTTGATCAGAGTCATATTTTGAGTCCTAGATATAACTTAAAAACGCATTACCAATAAAATTTGATATTTGGATTATAGTTGTATTTGAAAATAAAGCCCTCTACATTTCCTTAATATTGCCCTAAATACCTTTGAAATTATTTGAAGAAATTTAGTCAAATATTATTGTATTGTAACACTAACTTAAAAAAAATTCTAAAAGATGGCGCATAAACTTCAAATTTTCATTATAATATACTCACACGATAAAAATCAATTTTTCATTAATTTTGAGGTTAGTATTGCAGAATGAATTATGAATAGAATTATTAATAGAAAAATTAATAATTTTTGTATGCATATAAGTAGAGAAGTAATTCACAGAATTCTAGTACTGGGAAATTTTCAAATAATTAATTAAAAATATTCCTAAAATATTTAATTTTAATTTAAATTTTAATAAAGTACCAAAAAGTACCTGTGTTCTATGTTTATTTTGCATAAATGTGTACATAAAAAATTATATAATTTATATTATGTAAGTAGGTCTTTCATGTATATATATCACCAATATATATACCAATATAGATTACCAATGTTACACATTTTTTAGTATGTTATTAGAGTTAAAAAACAAAAAAGAGGAAGAAAACAAAACATCGAGAACAAAAATAATAAAAGTTATTTTGCGCCCTTTGAAGCATAAAATTTTTTCCACTTGAATTGAACAAGTGAATTTTCTTGTTCTTTACACAATATTCACATGAATACGTACATACATACATACATATACATTATGTAGTAAATAATATTCTAACAAAAAAAAATTTTATTATAAATTTGATGCCTTTAATATATTTTTAATATAACATGTGTATATGTTAGGTAAATTTCATGTTATACACAAATTGTCTGCCTATTGTTACAATATTTAATGACCCTTAAAAAAAATGTTATTTTTTTATATTATAATTTTTTATTTTTTCTACCTTTTCTATATAATATAAAACACAGGCAATAATAATAGTAATATGAAATTTGTTTCAAGGCACAAAAAGAAGGGTGCTTTTTAATTTTTCCATTTTTTTTTTTTTTGCTATATTTCAATTCATTTGTGCCAAAATTTTCTATATATAATGTTGAGCTTTTACATAGAGATATAAGTGTATATATGAATGGTATATATTAAAATAACCATAAAAACCAAAACAATAAGGAAATAGAGGGACAAAAAATATGTGAAAATTCATGAAAAAATATTTTGGAGAGCATTTTGTTATATTTATATAGATCCTATTGTATGTATGGAATAAAAATTTACTAAAATTGTAAAAATTTTGTATATTATGTCGAGTTAGAATATATAGTGAGAGAATGTTTAAAAAAATTGTTAGATATTGAAAAGGAAAGCAATATTGCTTAAATTTAATCCGAAAGTAAACACAACTATAAAGTGCTTAAATCTAATCAAATCGAAGTTCTTCAGAAAAATAATTCGTAATACGCAAAGTAATGTAAAAATTTTTAAAATGTCTTTAAATATTTCCAATAAAATTTCAAAAATTTTCAAAGATTATATTTTAAATTACTCATAGTAGTATATATAAAGTTTTTGTTATTGAGAAACACAGGCAGATTTTCCCAGCAATTTGAAAATTGCCGCATTTCACTTGATAACAATATTTTTTTTTCTTAAAATTGCTCATACAATTTTAGTTCCATAGCAATATAGGAGAGCAATAAAATTTCCTTGCTCTTTCATTTTGTTTTTGACGATTACTATTATTATATTGAAATTCATTATTGCATTAAAGTTTATCATATTAAAGTTTATAAGTGTTATCGTTTTAAAATAAAAATGATGTAGTTGCGAATTGATTTATAATTATGATTATTATTAATAATAATTTTATTAAATTTTATTTATTTTTAACCTGAAATTTTAAGAATAATTTTTAATGTTTTAACTTTTGTAAATTATAATTTTGTATAACTACAAATGATATTTTTGAAATTTTTGAAATACAGTAGAGTGGCACTTATATGAACTATTATAAATATGAACTTAATATAGAAGAAGCACTTTAACATGTAATCAATGTAAGATGGGGTTCAGATTTACACGAATTTTTCATATAATTGAAAAGAGGCTATTAAAAGCAGACTAAAGAGTAATTAAACTGTTAAATTGATTGATTTTTGAATAATATTATACACTTGTATAGTCTTTATATAAATATTATTTTTTTCATTTTTTACTTGTATAGCAATACAATATGTATACGACTACATTTATTTAAATTTTATGTCAAATTTTATATAAGTTGGAATTTTTTCATATAACAGAGTAAATCATGCAAAGAATTTTTGTGTTCATATAATTGATCGTTCACAAATGTTTGTGAATGTTAAAATAACTAAGAGTGTACTGTTACTGTTAAATTGATTTTCTTATACGAGTATAATATATAAAGTAATAATGAACTTTTACTCAATTATTTCTTTAATTCACTTAAATTTCATAACACTATTTTTCCTATTTCATAACATCACATTTTCACCTATTCTTATAAAATTTTAGCACTTTAATTTTTACGAAATTTAATTTCAAGAAAAATTTAATTTTTTTTTATCACTTCAGACTCAATTGGTGGAGTCTCTTAATGAAATTTTTCATAAAAATTTTGAAATTTAATTATATAAAACTTGAATTTACAATGAAAGTATTTTTTTTGCCCTTATAATCATAGTATTTATTTTGAGCCTTAATTTCACTCAATTTAAAAATCACAAAATGCATTATGAGGGATTAAATTGTGATTTTAATATAACAAGGGAAATATATATATATATATATATACCAATAATATATTTTGAATAAACACATTAAGTACTAAAATAATTAAACAATAATAATTTTCTTTTATATTTGAAATTTAATTTACGATCAAATTTGATTAATAATTTCTATAAAATTACGAGATTATTACACAAAATTTTTCACAAATCAAATTAATTAACAATATAATTTAAATAATTTCACCTTATTAATCACACTATTTTTATTAAAATCCTATGGTGAATAAAATTGAATTTTCTCAATTAAAATTAAAACTCAATACTCGCAAATTAATATTTTTATATGAAAATTAAATTTAAAACGTTATTATCGTTTATAATATTAAATTATGACTAACTATAAATTTTTTTTTTTCAAAATATAAAAGTTTATAATAATAGTTTTTTGTTTTGATAAAAACAAACAAAATTACTCGTATCATTAAATATTGTTGATATCAACCGTTCATATCGATATTTATCACAATTGATAAAAATTAATTTTGAATAGAAATTTAAAAAAAAAAAAAACAAAAGAGTAAAACGAAAATTTATAAAACACTTATTCAAACAAAGAATATTTTTTTTATACATATATAAAAATAATAATAGAATTTAAGTATATGAAAACAGTTTAATAATGTTTGTATAACAAATATAGGGAAAAAATTGTGCCTATATTTTTTAATTTTAATTATTATTTTAAGAATACTTAAAAAATAATTATGGAATCTATTAAAAATAAATTTATTTAATATTTTAGAGCAAATTTAATAAATAAATTTGATCCTGTCTGATGAGGGGCCACTAATATATATTAAACCATCTGATCAGGGGCTCTATTATATTTTAAGCCATTTATATAGTAGATTTGTATAGCAAATCGTTTCACGAAAATCGAATTACATAGTAAAACCTTTGATCTTAAAATAAATAAACTTTCCCATTTTTTTTTATTTTCATCAATTTCACGGGCAAATTAAAAAATCTGATGTGCCCAGCATATTAACCGGCCACAAGATGTGTTGCCTAGTTTTTGGGAAAATGTCCCCTGAAAAATTCATTGCAGCACATTCAGACCAACATTTCTTTTAAAAATAAATTTATTTGCGCTTCCATATATATTACATGAAGAAGTACGTTTCCACCGAAAACTTGATATGACAAATTAAAAACCATGACATATACTCTCTTATTGTATGCGGAATGCATACATTAAGAGAGTATAACAGTTAAGAATTATAAATTAAAAATGTACAATCACACATTTTAATTTTCCCGGAAATTTCCAATTTGGGGTTTTTGATTTTTGACCACAGATATGTAAGTATAAATTTTTTTGAATTTGTTTATTAATATTGTGAATTTATAAGGAAAA